CTTTTGTTGCTTCCAAAGCCTGCTTAACCTGGACTTTCTCTGTAAGCAAAGCATCCCTGATCAGTCTCCAAAGGTAGGACGTGGTGATTGGCAGGACTTCAGGCCCCTTCATTCTCAAAGTTTTTTGAAGATCCCTGCGAACCTGTTCCCATTCAGAAATATTGAGGGCTCCACTGGTGACAAACCAGGGACTCCACGTTTCTATAGTTTTAAAAAAATCTTCTAAAGTCTTAGTTTTTACAGCTGTTCCCTGCTCTTTCAACAATCTCTTTAACTGAAACTTTAACACTGATTTACCCGGGATATCCCCCATTGCTTTTTAATTATCTCTTATAATTGTCTCTTATAATAATCTCTTAATTCCCAATGTGTCCTGGCTGGACTACAGGACAACCCGGTCCACTGTACCTCTCTTTCCGAACCCGGGGAGGGGCTCCAAATACCACGCCAGTGCAGGCTGGAACCAAGAGTCTCCGAGGAGGGTGTCCAGGTTGAATGAATTCACAGAGCACGAGGTTGAGGTGGAACAGCTTCTTTATTGTTCTGCTGGGGCTAACTTTTATACCATGGCACCAAATGAGGAGGGGGCTGCCAAGGGACTGTAACCTGACCTCAGCAGTGATCAAGGAATGGTCACCATGCACTCAAAATTCCTTTCCCAACTCCAGGAGCAGAGGGAATTTATTATGTTTTCTTTGCAGATAAGCCCCTCAAATGGGGGCAGGGATAAGTAACTCGGGGCTGCAGTTCCCACATCAGGGTGAAGAGCCCAGGGGTGGGGGGCATGTGGCTCGGTGCACACCCGCCAGGCTCGTAGCTCAGTCACCCCCACGCTGTGCCCAGGTCCCTACAGCCGCCATGAGGGACTATAAGACTGCCTGTCATCATGTTTTTGATCTTAGCTATTCAGATAAGTGTCAGATGAAATCTCAGAGTTGTTTTGGCTTGAATTTTTCTGATGGCTAAGGATGTTGAGCATTTCCTTAAGTGTCTTTCAGCCAGTTTATATGCATCTGTTGAGAGCTCTCTGTTTAGGCTTGTACTCCATTTTTAAATTGGATTATTTGTTCTTTTGATGTCAGCTTTCTTGAGTTTTTTTTTTGTTTGTTTGTTTTTTTTTGTGGTTGTTGTATATTTTGGAGATCTGACCTCTATCTGATGTGGGTTTAGTGAAGATCTTTTCCCATTCTATAGGCTGTCATTTTGTCTTGCTGACTGTGCCCTTTGCTTTACAGAAGCTTCTCAGTTTCAGGAGGTCCCATTTATTAATTGTTTCTCTCAGTGTCTGTGTTAATGGGGTTATATTTAGGAAGTGGTTCCCTGTGCCAATGCATTCAAGTGTACTTCCCACTTTCTCTTCTATGAGGTTCAGTATGCTTGATTTTATGTTGAAGTCTTTGATCTATTTGGAGTTGAGTTTGGTGCATGGCAATAGATATGGATCTATTTTCATTCTTCTATATGTTGTTAGCCAGTTATGCCAGCACCATTTGTTGAATATGCTTTTTCCATTTTATATTTTTAGCTTCTTTGTTGAAAATCAGGTGTATATCGCTGTGTAGATTAGTACCTGTGTCTGTGATGCGATTCCCATTGGGGACCCACATATTCTTGACAACATCTTACACTGTCAGACATTTTTATATTTTTTCATGGGAGTGTGATGAGTTGCATCATTTAGGTTTCAATAGTGCGTTCCAAGTATTAAGTTAAATGAAACATCTTTTACAACACTTGTTGGTCATGCCCTTCTGATATAAAGCTTAGTATACAGTACATGTTGATAACCAGGGAGCATCACTCCCTCATTTTAGGAAGCTCAGTTCACAGCTCACCTCACTTACTTTACTAAAGCCATCTCTTCTTAGGTGGTACAACTCTGCTCTTCTAAGAGTTAGGGGTCTCTTGAGCTTTCTTTCTCTCTACTCCCATCCTGTGTGATAGGAATTCTTGCTACAGACTCTCAACACACATGTAGTCTGCACACCTCTTTTCATTTAGACTGCTTCCACCTGGATCAATACATAGGGTGCGAATTATCACAGTGAGTTTCATGGCTTTACCCTTACTTGCTATCCAGTCTCCAAACATGGGAAGGTCATGTGACAACTGTAAACATCCCAGGATGCTTGCTAACATCTTCCAGAGTAAAATTCGAAGCCCTTATAGTGGCCCAAACAATCTTACAAGACAACAATATTAAGGATACTAATACTTTTCCTAAATTTAAAAATTACATTATTTATTTATGTGTGTATATGCTCATGGGCCACAGGTTACATGTGGAGGTCAAAGGACAATTTGAGGGAGTTGGTTCTCTTCTCCACCATGAGTCCTGGGGATGGGATTCAGGCCATCAGGCTTAGCAACAAATGTGTGTAACTTACTGGTCTAATTTTTCATTTTTAACTGGTGTATGTTCATTGTACATCATTATAGGTATCATGATGGTGTTTTCTTTCACATATACTTTTATTGTTTGCACTTTCAGGTGCTCCTCATCCTTTCTCCTTTCCCTCCGGCTAGTTCCCTTCCTTCCCCCAGATGATCTTGCTTTTACTTACTTGTCGTATGTATATAATATTTTAGGTATCAGTAGAAAACTCATGATCCACAAATGAGTAAAAAAAAAGCCACACTTGTCTATGTCTGACTTATTTTTACCTAAGATTAATCTTGAAGAGGAATGTGGGAAGAAAGTGTTCATTAGAGCAGAAGAAGCAATTGAAGAGGACTCCTGCACAGTAGGGGCTCCCTTCCAGACCCCAGACTGGGTAAAAACATCCAAACATCTGTTTTCACAGAGGAATCCTTTATTAAACGGGGAAGAAAAGTTAAAGTGTCTGCATGGTAAAGGAAATGGAGGATAAGGGAGAAAGGGAAGTGGACAAGGGAAAGGGGCAGGGATATTTACCCTGGAGGGACAAAGGATAGAGAGGAGACAGATGGGGCGCATAGGCAAATGGTGGTTTAATAAAAGTAAAGGGAGAAACCCCATGTTAGGGCGATTTTAACTGGGCATGTTGATTAGGCAAACCAAAGGGGAATTCTGATTGCTGGACTTTGGTAATCAGCCTCGGGAGGAAGTGGCTAAATAGGTGAATGAATAAGACCTTGGTGGCTAGCTTGAGGAATGTAATCTAACAGTTTGTAGCAAGGCAGAGGGAATAGAGAGAAGGGTAAGGCCTGCCAGAGCCACATGCTTTAGTGGCCTAGTGTCTCTTCAGTAGTGGGCTGCCTAACTCTCGCTTGCCTGAGGCTTGTTTTTATTGACTGCAGGAGTTGCTAGGGGACACAGGAAGGACAAACACTAAGGCACAGGCCTTTTCCCAATAGCGTAATAATTTTGAGTTTCCTATTGGATGGAGCATATCACAGAATCAGGGCCAGACTTAAAGGTGACTGGTTCTCATTGGAAGAAAGGCAAAGCCAAAGGGCAGATGGGTGAGGAAAGGTGCCTGATGTGGGAGTGGGGAGTTTGTGTCTATTTTTGAAGTTGGCCTTCCTGGGATACGTTTCAAAAGTGGCAAAGACAGCGAAACAACCAAATAAAAGGTGGATAAGCCTTCATGAACAGTTCCACAATAGAAATGTTTAATTGGTTGTAGTATCCGATTGGAAGGATGTGAAATACTGTATGCTTTCACTTTCTGGAATAGATGCCCACTGATACACACTTTGAAAGCTGATGTGTTTATCCTTTCATTTGGACAGATTTACCCAGAGATCATCTAGATCAGTTCAGCTGGGTATTTAACCTAGCTCTCAGACTATGGGTGTCCAGAAAAAGAGACCAGGATTCTAGTCTACTAGTTCTTTAGGGTTGAGATATTTAAAGACATATTAAAGGTGAACTGGTGTGAATTCTACCAGCTGGAAGTTGTTACTGGATGATCAGCCTGCTGTATCTGGAACACAGGCTGGGAGCATGCCTCAGGTACTCCAAGATCTCCTACCAAATGAACCCAGAAACACAATTATAAATACTCCTTTTAAACCTGGGTGGTGGCGGTCAAACACGCCTTTCATCCCAGGATGCTGAGGAAGGTGGATCTCTGAGTTTGAGGCTAGCCTGTTATACGGAGTGAGTTCCAGGACAGCCAGGACTACTTAGAGAAACCTGTCTCAAAAGCAAAACCCAAAACAAAAAAACCCTAAAAAAAACAAACACCCCCCAAAACAAACAAACAAACAAACAAACACCCCAAACCAAACAAACACTCCTTTAAATTAAAGACAAAAGAACTGCAGAATGGAGAGAAATTACAGTGTTGGGATATTTAGCAGTTCTCCAAATAAGCGCGTTGAAGCCTACAAAGGGTTATGAACTTGAGCTTCCCTGATCATCGACATGGCTGGGGACCGCGCTATCTCTGCCCTCCAGAAAGGCAGTGGCTCTTTTATCTCCACAGAGGAGCTGGGCTTTTGGCTTGCGCCTAGGGTGCTACTCTGCAACCGCTTTCCAGTTTTGCATCTGCTTGGGAGAGAATTTCTATAGTAGACCCCAGTCCGCCTTGGCCCAGGCTTTCAGGCTAGGCGAGCCTAGTGGTGAGCTCAGATGTGGAGAACAGTGTTGATCAGCCTGCGGGTCATCCAAAAGGTTCAGCAAGCGAAAACGGGGAAGGGATGCACCTGTACCTGGATCTAACCACGCCTCCGAATCCTGACCCCACCAAGGGTTCCGCCTCTAGACCCCTCCCTGCCTGGATCCGCGGCACCGCCCTTATTCCCAGCCCTGAACAATGGACAGCAAGACTGGATTCCCAACACTGCATGCCCAGCTACAAGATTTCGGGCCTGCCTCAGCACGTCCTAGGTTCTACAAACTCCGCCCCCATTCCAGCCACGCCCCCTTGCACCCTACGACCCTCGGCCCAGAGCCCCAGGCGCGAGGCGCGCGTCTCTGACGTACGGCGCCCTCCGAGTGACGCACAAGTCCCGCCCCGGCCTCAAGCCCCGCCCAGGCGGTGGCCGTTCCCCGCCTCCCGCAGCCTGAGCCGCTTCTCCAGGAGCTGAGGCGGCGGCTGAGGCGGCGTTTTCCGTGTCTGCTGCGGTCTAGGTGGCGTTCCTGTCCGGCAACGAGCGGCTGTGCAGCCCCGGCGCCCGCGGGCAATGGTGCGGCGGAGCGCGCGGACGCGGGCGGCCCTACGGTGGGCATGAAGGAGGATGGAAGGACAGGACGAGGTGTCGGCGCGGGAGCAGCACTTCCACAGCCAAGTGCGAGAGTCCACGGTGCGTGGCCGGGCGGTTCCCCTGGTCCAGACCAGCACGGTCCCCTAGCTTCTTCCCGGACCTCCCGCCCACGATGGCCTTCCAGCACCCCACCGGGTCTGCTGCAGACCGATCTGACGCCCGGCGTCACTTACGTCCTCTGTCACCTGCGACCCGATCACCTGTTCCCCATCGCCTCATCTACATCCCTCTCCTGTCACCCGCTGCCCTCTCCTTTTCGTAGGTCTTACTCGCGCCACCGGCGCTCCCTCCCCTCCGCTGTGTCCTCTCTTCACCCACGTTTCATCCCTACACCTGCACTTCCTGCCCCTCCCGTCACCTTTATCCCCCCCTCCAGCCACCTGTGTCGCCTCCCCTCCCCTGCACCCTCTCTCCAGTCATCTCCTCCAGTCACTTGTGCCCACCTTTTGTCACTTGCAGTGCCCTTCTGTTACTTGCAGCCCTTCCCATCACCTATGTCCTTCCCTCCTGTCACTTGTCCCTGTTACTTGTCCTGTCACTTGGACTCTCACGCACCTCATCTGCTCCTTTCACCACCTGCTTCACCATCTTCCCCGTCTTCTTCACCCGAGGTTATTCCGCATCTCCTCCTGATGGAGGGTGGAGGGTGATGGGTGGCTGTCGGTTTTCCTCTAGTCAGGTATGGTACCTGGACTGAGCTGGCTGTGACTAAGGTGTAGGTGGTGCAGACTGCCCGGCTTCCCAAGCATCCAGTCCGGCTGTGACCCTGGCCTCCCACTCACATCCTTCCCTCTGCTCTGCTAGCCAGGACAGCTAAAAATTTGCAGAGGAGGGAAGACAGGTCTCTCCTGGGAAGGATGAGAGCAGAAGCCCACAGGGCACGGAAGCAGTTGCTCTGGAAAGGATGGGCCGCTTCATCCTCTGCTACTAGCAGGTCAGGTTGACTCCCTAAGTTCTCCTTTGATGAGCACCTTTCAGGGTATCCGACAGTGTATAAGTGGGTTTGTTTGTGTTCCCATATCTCTGTAACGGATACCCAAGTTATAAGTTTGCATCCGCCCCATATTTAGCTCACTTTTCCTGTTCAGTCAGTCACACCCTTGGTTTAAGGTGAGCAAATTCTGGTTCAGAGTAGTCCAGCTTGTGCAGTTACTGACTTTAAAAATTGATTATATGGCAGTAAAAGGAGATGCATAAATCTGCACTGATAGAATTTGGTATGCTACATTTGTTTTATTTTTATTAATTCTTTGAGTAGTTTATAGAACGTATTTTGATCATATTCACCCCCTTGCTAACTTCTCCCAGGCCTCTCCCCATCTTCTCAACTTTGTGTCATTTTTTTTAAAACCCATTTGTGCTGCCTGTATACTCTTATGTGTGTGGGCATTCATTGGAGTGTGGTTGACCTATCAGGCACCACACCCTTAAAGAAAACTGACTTTCCCTCCCTCCTCAGCAGTTAGGGATGGGTCTTCATGCCCATCTCCCATCTCCATGCTGAGATTTTGTCTGCATTGAGCTTGCCCAGATTTTGTGTGTGTGTTTCACAACTGCCCTCAGTTAATTTGTACAACTATCCTGTTGTAACGGGAAAATACTGCTTTCTTAATGCCATCTACTGTCCCCGGCTCTTGTATTCTTTTTGTCCCCTCTTCCACAGTTGTTTTAAGCCTTAAGAAGAGGGAGAGTGATACGGAAGTCCTATGTAGGTCTGAGCGTTCATTCCTTAGTCTCATTCTCTGCACCTTGCCCTCTGTTAACATTATATAAACAGAAAGCCTCTCTGATGCAGGTCGAAAGACTCACTAATCTGTGTATATAACAATAAATCATTAGGAAGCAGTTTAATATGATGTCTATTTAGCAGTGTGATAGTAGTAGGCTCTCTCTAGGGCCTATGACCCATCAGCACAGATTCTTGTCTCTAGGAGTGGTGCCAGGTATGGGTTTCCTTTCGTGGAGTGGGCCTTAAATCCAATCAGAAAGTGGTTGGTTACTCCCACAACATTTATGCCATTAGGAAGAAATATATAATTTAAAGTATGCTCTTAATAATTTTTTTCTTTTCTTCTTTTTTTTTTTGGGGGGGGTAGGGGTTAGAGACAGGTTTCCCAGTAGCGTTGGAGCTTGTCTTGGAACTCGCTCTGTAGACCAGACTGGCCTCGAACTCACAGAGACCCACCTGCCTCTGTCTCCCAAGTGCTGGGATTAAAGGCATGCACCACAACCATTCGGCTATTTTTTTTTTTTTCGTTTTTTGGATACATTTCTTACTAAACATGCCTGAGGAATTAATCATGGTTTCAGATGCAGAAACAGAGTTTTATTACCATGCCAGAGGCCCAGCTTTCCCCCACAGTTGTAGCTTTTGTTTCCTTCAAGAGTAGCTGCTGCTCTGGCTTCTAAAGCCATAGGTTAATTTTCACCTTATTTTTTTTTAATATTCATATATTTTATATATATGATTGTTTTGTCCTCATTTATGTCTGTATATCATGTATGCACCTGCTGCCCATGGAGGTCAGAAGAGGGCACCAGATCCCCTGGAACTGGAGTTACAAGGTGTTGTGAGTTGTCCCATTGCTACTGGGCACTGAACATGGGTCCTCTACCACTGAACTACATTGCTAGCCCAGAGAAGTGGCAGGTTTGCTCATTCTTCTGGATTTGGAGCATCTGGTGGTGGACATCTGTTAGCTCCTGAAAGTTCTGTCAGCGTGGATTTGCTCTGGCAGAGTCATAAACCTGAGACATGGCTAGTACCGCAGCACAAGTGTGCCCCTCAAGTTCTTAGGGCTGTCTTTGGAATCCCAGTGAGCACAGGTGGATATGTTGCAATGTGTGTGGGGTAACAGGCTGAAGTGCTTGTTTTGTGAAATTTGTAAGTATTACTCCTTGTTTTTTTGCATGTGGGTGGATGTCTAGTTGTTTCAACAACATGTATTATTTTCCTTATTATATTATCTTTGTGCATTGTGAATGATCAGTTAACTGTATTATTTGGTTATATTTCTAGTGTTCCTATTCTGTTCCATTAGTCAATATTTCATTAATACTATACAATTTTGATTATTTAAGTTTTATTCCTTACAAAAAGTCTTTTAATTTTATTTTTTTATTCAAATTGTGCTGATTATTTTGGGTTTTGTATCTTCACAAAAACTTTAGGATCAATTTGTGTCTGTCTACAAAGTAACTTGCTTGGATTTTGATTGGAATTGCATTCAGCTTGTAGATCAAATAGGAAGAATTAATATATTCCTGTTCATGAACATGGACTATCCTATCTCCCATTAATTAAAGTTATTTTTAGATGTCTTTCATCAAAGTTTTATCATTTTTCTTATGAATATTTTGAATATATTTTGTTAGATATTCTCTTAAAATTCACACACACACACACATACACACACATATGTTGTGTAAATGGTGTGTGATGGTTTTGACTTTAAATTTCGCTTGTCCCTGGGCTGCTGGTAGCACACACCTTTTTATTTTTTATTTTTCAAGACAGAGTTTCTTTGTCTATCCTTGACTGTCTGACTGTCCTAGAACTAACTCTGTAGACCAGGCTGGCCTCGAACTCACAAAGAGTGAGTCTGTCTCTGCTATCCTAGTGGTAGTATTAAAGTCATGCACCACCACTGCCCAGTTATTTTTTTTTGGGGGGGCACACATATTTAATCCCAGCATTTCCACAGGTAGAGGCAGGCAGATCTGTGTTGTTTCAAGGCTATCTGCTGAGTTCTAGCCCAGTTAGGGCTATATATTGAGACCCTATCTCAAAATAAGAGCAAACAACAGCAAAACCCCAAAACTAAAATTGAAACCAAACCAAAATAAAAATTTCACTTTTCTATTCTGGCATATAGGAAAGTGATCAACTTCAGTGTACTAACCTTGTATCCTCCACTCTTGCTAGAAATATGTATTAAGATCTAGGTTTTTGTGTGTATTCATTCAGATCTGTATAATTAATAGAGATATCTGTGTACAAAGGCAGTTTTACTTATTAAAGTCCTTTTCCTTGTCTTCTTGCACTGATTAGGATTCCTAGTACTGTGTTGTGGGATATGAGAAAAGGTGCTCTTGTCTTGCTGTAGATCTTAGACAAGTGTTGCATTTCTCATTATTAAGTATGTTAGTTATTGATACTTTGTAGATTGGTATTCTTTAGCTGTTGAGGAAGGACTTTAATTTTAGGTTCTTTAGTTTTTTAAAGTTTTAAGGTTTTATTTATTTTTATATACATTGGGGTTTTGCCTGAGTATATGTGTGAGGATGCCAGATCTCTTGGTACTGGAGTTACAGACAGTTGTGAACTGACATGTGGGTGCTGGGAATTGAACCTGGGTCCTTTGGAAATGCAATTAGTTCTCTTAACTGCTGAGCCATATCTCTAGCCTGAGTCTTAGGATCTTTTAAATTTAAAATTAATATTTTTCTTATTTATTTGGTTTGGGTTTACTTTTTCTTTCATGACGAATTAATGTCTCCTAGCTAAAGTAGTGTTTTATTTATTTATTTTTTTGTAAAGTTAATACATTTTTATTTAAGGGATTTCACATGTGATTTCCTCACTGTCCATCAAGGTCACTGAAATTCAAGATTTTTGAAGGTAGTCCTTTTTCAAAGAGCCAATGCTTAATTCAGTTGTGCTATCAGACCATAATTCTTTTATTTATCTATGCATTAAAGACAGACATATTCATGAAAACTTCAAAGTTCTTCATTGAAGAGTCTTTATATCAATTTCTTCAATTTACTTTAGGAACCATTTTAGTGCAGGTTTGCCTCTCACTTGCTGACACCCTATGCCTCTAAAGAATGACTTCAGACCATATTCATTCCTGTCACATTCAGAATACTATGGGTCTGTGTGCAGGATATGCCAGAGTTACATTGAAACAAACTTTATTCATAGGTATCTTCAACTCTGACCTCATTCATTTTCAAGACAAGCCTTTGATATTCACATGTTCATCTCCTTCCCAGGGCTTTCTGTCCTCTGCCCAGTATTTTTGGCTTTAGGAACT